CCATCATATATATATATATATATAACAAAAATACATAAAGATATTAAAATATAAATTTCATTTTACTTTTCTTTTTAATATTTATAGTTTAAAATACCCGTTTTAGTTTTATATATATATACTCTCTTTTTTTATTCCATTCTATTCCATGCCATTTATTTTTTTATTAATGTTGTTTGTGTTATAATAACGTGGCAAAAACTATTCCAATATAGCATTTAATTTCCAACATGAACTTTTAAAAATATCTTTATGGTCTCTATAAATTCATTCATTTTCCTTTTTAGTCCATATAATTTTTAATTATTAAAACTTATGCCAAATTATATGTTTAAATGCCAACAAATTAGTAAAAATAGTGAATGGTTTAAAAGAAAAACTCATATTTTTCTTAGAGGTAAGCCATCTAATTAAAATTCCACTTATACATTTTTCTATAAATATTATTATGATTGTTTATGATCATGTATTAATCCTCTAAATTCAAACATCTTAATTTAGCTAGCATTTTTTTTTATCAATGTTAACATAACACTCGGTAAATTTGTGTGTATTTGGATGTAAGTTTGTGCTTATTGCCTAATAAGATTGAGGTGTAAGTATATATGTGTAATTATCTAACAAGAGTATAGAAAATTTTGTATCAATTAGTAGTATAACTAAAATAATATATGAGTGAAGATAATTTTGTACTCATAATTATAAACTAGTTTTTAGGATTAAATTACACACAGACACAAATTTTAAGATGATATTTGCTCTAAATTGTTAAGCTTATAAATTATTTTTTGAGTCATTAATTAACTATTTGTGTGTATTCAATCTTACAAATTTTAAAAACAAAGTATTTAATCATTAATGTGAGAAGTGTAAAAAATCTCATATCAATTAATTAATGATATATAAACAAAATAATTATAAATATGAGATATATCCTTTACCTCATGAGAGTTTTTGAAATTCAATTAAAGTCATGAGAGGTTTTGAAGTTGAATTAATGAGTCTAAACCTACGTTCTAAAGGAAATCAAGTGTCTAGTATCATACTAAAATAAATAAAATATATATGCATCTGTATTCTTTGTCTCCATATACCTAACACTATCAATCTTTTATTTAGATTTTGCCAGTATCTAATCCGAAGACAAACTAATAGTTTTGAAATATGTAATCGATCTAAAACATATTAATTGTTAGCAAGTATTTTACTGTATATAACGATTTAGAAACAAATTTTATGAGCTGAAGTTAATTGTATATCTTTATTATAATGTAGTATTTTTTTATTTTTTTTGTTGAATTTTGTATTTAAATAATTTTAGTTTTTCAACTTTTTAAAATAATTTAATATCATATTTATAATAAGATTTAAGTAAATAAATATATATGATGAGTTTATTTTAATAAAGGATATTTTTGTAAAAAAATATTTATAAGCCAAAGAATGTACTATTGTAATCAAACATGAAAATCTTTAATTATTGGGAATCATGTATGAATAATCAAACATATTTTAACTATTCATAGGAATCATGATTTCTGTGTATAAAAAAAAAAATTCCTGCATCAAACGCCCCCTTAAATAAGTCAATCTCTCCTCTATAAACACGTGCGCGAAAATTTTCACATCAATGGGTGGTTTTAGGTAAATAATTAATTAAGATCCTATTTAATAAGAGAAGGATTCAAATAATACTGGTATAACTTTTATTAAGTATTACACCGTTCAATAACTTTATATTAAATGTGAATTTTATAAATTCAACTATTAGATTGAAAGTTTTTTACTCTTATATCATATATATACAAAATTTTATATTAATCCAAGATGATTTGATACTTCATTCTTATAAAAAAAAATTGACGTAATATATACATTTCAAAATATAATAAAATATGAACATTTTGATTACCTTTAAGTTATTGTTTAATTTTAATAAAATTTGGTATAAACATATAAAGAGATATGAAATTATAATTCAATGGTTTGATTTACAAAATTCACATTTAATATAAAAGTATTGAATGATGTAATACTTAATAAAAGTTACACCGGTGTCATTTGAACTCTCATTGTTTAATAAATTGTTATATTTGGATATAAATGTTGAGAAATATTTATACAATTTTAAAGTATTTTAGATGTATTATTACTTAAGCACTAATAAGTTGTCTCATTTTAAATAAAATGACAAGTTAAACCTTTATTAGAAATAAAAAAAAAATTAAAGTAACTAAATTTTTTTTAAAAATGACATTCACATTAAATATCACAATAATAAAAAAAAATAGTAGTCATCTTTCACCTAATCTTAGTTTGATTTTGTATTTAAATAATTTTAGTTTTTCAACTTTTTAAAATAATTTAATATCATATTTATAATAAGATTTAAGTAAATAAATATATATGATGAGTTTATTTTAATAAAGGATATTTTTGTAAAAAAATATTTATAAGCCAAAGAATGTACTATTGTAATCAAACATGAAAATCTTTAATTATTGGGAATCATGTATGAATAATCAAACATATTTTAACTATTCATAGGAATCATGATTTCTGTGTATAAAAAAAAAAATTCCTGCATCAA